ACCTCGAGTGAGTGGCTTGATTGGAGGATCGATACGGGATGTTGAGTGTCAAGTGAAACCTTGAACACGATTGGATCCTATTCAACATGTAATAATACATATAGGAGCCAAATTAGGGTATTTCACTACTAGACATGATATGAAACCACTCTAGGGACTTGGAAACACTTGTACTAAGTGTTAGAACATTATGGGATTGAGTGAGGGAGGTGTACGGCCACCCTATAGGTGTGTACCGCCATGGGTGTACGGCCCATGAGTATACGGCTGTACACTCATGATGGGATGTGTTTTTGAGGTGTTTCCAAGGTTTATACTAGCACCCATGAAGTGTTCTAGGTCCATGTTTGGTTATAGGGTAAGTTTGAGGCCAATAAATATTATCAAAGTGGATTCAAGGCCTTAAGAGGTGTGTACGGCTGTACATAGGGGTGTGCGGCCGTACACCCCTCATGTTCATGCCCAAAATGTCGACTTTAAGGTGCAACAAGGCTAGGGTCATGTCCAACTAGGAGATAGGGGTCAAACTCTCACTTTGGAGAGTCTTTAAGGAGTGTACGGCCCACCTTATGAAGGTGTACGGCCGTGCTCTCTTCAAGACATGAAGAACATGACGAATCTTGCAGAATCAAGGCTTAGATACAGTGGTCTTTCAAGGATAACAAGTTAGAGGATGGATTACTCACGTTGTTGAAGCCTTGGAGGGTTCACGGTTGAACAATACTTAAAAGAGAAGGAGTAGTGTGCAGCCAAGGAGAGAAAGGAATGAAAGAAAGGGGTCTACTCATATATATAGGGGTGGGTGACCCACCACCTTGAGTGTGCGGCCATGGGGTGGGTTGTACGGCCGTACACTCCTCCTAAGAGAGTGTATGACCTAATTTTGTTACCTTACGACTTGATAACTCATCCCTAATCTTAACCTTGATTGTACTTAAGCTTAGAACACTTAAACCAACCCTTAAACGGTGTTAAAAGATAACAGAAACGAGTTTAACATTGGTTGACTTGACTAGATGGAAGTTCCGGGTTGTCACACATTAGTTGGCTACTGATGGGTTTTCTAGGTTATAAAAAAATACATGTAGCGGAAAAACACTTAACCCTTAAGTTCACATGCAACCTAGATTGGATTTATGTTTTCTCTATTGATAGCAATTATCTATGAACATCAAGAAACCCTAAGGGAAGGCTATGAAAATCGAAATTCATATAGATCTAGGGTTACATACCTTTTGATTATTATAGTAAATAATCACACCAGATCCTCTTGAAGTTCCTTGGAAAGCAAGCACCAAAATCTTGAGTGCCTCTAATGGCTCGTACCCAAAACGCTACTAACTAGAAGACTTGAGGAGATAAGAGAAAAAAGAAAATTTTCATCTCTGTAAGATTGATGTGTTTATTTGTATGCACTAGTTTTTGATTTATAAAGTCCTTTCAAATCTCAACTAGTCTTAAACACAAATAGGCAGTGTACCTAGTCGGGAAGTAATATAGTTTAGGGTAAGAAAGGGTGTCAAACACAGGGAACGTGAATGGTTTAGATCAAATAATTCAAATGTTAATTAAATTAATAACCAAAAATGTAAAAATGGTTTTTATTCAAACTAAATTAAACTAATTTTAACGCTCAATTAAACAAACGAAGTAAAGAATAGAATTAAAACAAAAGATAAGAACTACTTCCACTAGAGTATGAATCCCCTAAGTTTTTATGCTTGATTTATTACAAGTGCAATGGATTAATGAATTAATTACCGAATTGTAATATGACTAGTTATCTTGATCGAATTTCCTAGTACTAATAATTAATGAACAACTAAGACAATGATCATGCAATTAGTGAACACATAATTAATTAAATATGTTCGAACTATGAACGATATGATCTAGTGATTTCTCGTAAATGGTCATGACAATCAATATAATCATAGCATGGATATCTATGCTCTCTAACACAGATTAAGTCACCGATTAACATTACCTAACCCTAGGCTTATGATCAAAGTCACAATCATATAAACCTAATGATCATAGATTCACATGATTCAAGTAGATCAAGATAGAATGATCATCTAATCCTAACAATACTCAGCAATAAACAATAAAATTCATAAATCTAACATGAAAAGTAAACCAATCAATCGAACACAAGTAAAAACCAAAGTCAATTAATCCTACTAACGAAATCAAAGCATATCAACGAGGGTTCATCAAGATCTACTGAAACTAAAGGTTTTTACACCATATTCAGTGAACTAAAGCAGAAAAACATCACCAAAAAATTGCGAGACACGATCCCGAAGTGAAATATCGATGTATTAGCGCTTGAATCCTCAAATCCTTGCTCCAATCAACTCTCTAGCTTCAATTTCGACCCTTGGAGGGTTTCTGGACTTCAAAACGAAGTAAAAGTCTCGCATATAGTCCCCAAAGGCTGCACACCGATTAGGGTTGGAAATCCGGTGTTTTTATATATTTTTCGGCTCCACGACATGATAATGGGATTCCTTGTCGCATACGAACTCGTAGACCGACATGGCGACTTATTGGAGGTTTTTTTATTCTCATGTCGTGAGGTAAGAGGTCTCACGTCATGAGAACTGGGAATTCGCATTTGGCACAAAAACATAAGTTGCCCGGAATTTTGTCTGGTTTCCGGAACGTCTTGAATCTTTTCAATTGGACATACGAGTCATGAGATATGTTCAAAACACTAACGAGGGTCAAGTTGCCAACAACATCCTTTTGTGTCTTTTTCAGCTCCGTTCTCCTCCTTTTGCATCCCATATCCCATTTTAACTGTAATTCAACATTTTCAAGTATAATAAGTATCATATATCTAAAAATATAACATTTTAATCAAATATATTAAGATAGTGGTCTAAAATATATAGTTATATAAGGACATATCAGGATACCCCACACTTGTCTTTTGCATGTCCTCAAGCAAACTAGATTGTTATTATGCTATATCAAAACTTCGCCTGCCAACATCACATAGAATAACCCAATTTGAATTCACAAATTATGTCTCGCCTAAATGCATATATTTGTGTCTAGACCCTAATTACTTCCCATGTCCTAAATACTCACAATTCTCATAAACGTTCCCCACTTATTTTGAACAACACTCATTTATGCATCCCTCCGTATACATCCTGAGAAAACTTTGTTAACCTCAAGGTAATTTTTGTTAAGTTCCCAAGCATACATATGATAAAAATAACCTAGAAAGAAAAATTACAATAAATAACCCTTGGATTTTGGCAATTTGCCTTATTTCTTCATTTTCTTCAACTTCTTCATACTTTGCAAATTTTTATTCACTTAACAACTTTTGACAACTTTTTTTTTTTCACAATTGTTTTCATTTTTCTTCCATATCTCACTTTTTTCTCTCAAACTAAAACATACAAGAAAAACATATGCTTAAGTAAGAGAACATAATTTCAACCATTATTGGTTAAATGTATTAGCCTAAAGTGCAACGACTACATAATATTTCCTAGATACATTTAAAGTCATGCACAACATATTATATCCCTCAAACTATACAAGTTCGTGTTTTTGTCTTTTCACTAGAACTGGAAAGACACAAATATACTATAACATATTAGCTTAACTAAACCTTTAAATTCACATTAAATTATCCAATAGAATACTAGCAAACTTAGTTTTGACACAAGCAAAATTTTTAAATTTTCAAGATTTCAAATTAATTGAAATGTTATATGATATGAGAGAGAGAGAGAGAGAGAGAGAGAGAGAGAGAGAGAGAGAGAGAGAGAGAGAGAGAGAGAGAGAGAGAGAGAGATCACTTGCTGACAGTCCCTTTAGTGGCGACATGAAGCCAATTAATTTTGTTGTTGCCGCGGATGCTCAATTCTACAATTTGTGTGCTTCGTCAAGAGTCAATCATATTCATCCATTGTATTGATCTATCCAACAGCCAAGACACATTTTTGTTAAAACTAATAGGGGTGCAAATGTCTGTCGACACAAATGCTTTAGCCGCGTCACCGCTAATATTCACCGAAATAAGATCCGGAAAATCCCCTCCCCAATTTTTTCAATGTCGCCACAAACCTTTAAAGACGACATTTCATAGTATTAGCGGCAACAAATGATGCCCCTGTTACCTTGATTCCTTGTAGTAGGGGGTGTACACGTCTTTGGATTTACGACAGCTACATGCTTTAGAAAACAAATGGTTTAGGGATCGTGAATGGTGAATGAGTGTCATATCAACTCAAAAAATAAAGTGGTGGAGGTTATAAATACATGTTGTCTCATTCACGCTTCCATACCATGAAACATGTGGAGGCCTGCTTAGGACCAACTTTACTCCAAGTTTAAATTTGTTTTAGTCATAACTTTTTAATTAAGAACCGGTTTCGGCTCGGTCCTCTCATCATTAATTTTTATACATGGCGTACAGGTTAACATAATATTTTCTGGAACCGGCCCGATTGAACCTAGTTAAGGACTAAGTGATTTTCTGTACTAGATTCGCCATTGCCGATAGCGTCCTAGTGAGAGTTTATTAATGATTGCTATAGGGAACTTGAACAACATCACGTTGGCTAAGAAAAGTGTGTGTAGTGAGTGTGTGTAGTGCGATTATCCTAACATCGAGAAACTTCTTTGGTTCAGGCGTGCATATAACACGATTGTAATCGTGTGAACCACGTAAATCCATATGTGTTGCTCTTTTCTTGCATCTTAAGATTGTGTGTGTTTGTTGAAAAAAAATTAACTTTATATGAATCAAGAATCCCTAAAGTACATCAAAATATCACAAGTTCGGTTTTAATATGTGCCGCATAATAGATTATGCTTGAATACATATTGTCTTATTATCACAAGCTAACTCGCTATTATACAAACTCAGACATCTTTTGCCCATGCTTATCAATAGAATAATTCATACATAATAAAATTCTTCCAGGGCAGGATTCAATCGGTGCTGCATCGCATACTGTTTGGTTTGTCATCTACAGTTCTAGAATCAGATCTGATAGGAAATGTCAACAATGAGTGAGATATATATTATAGTGTGGAATTGAATAATAGCAGATAGTGCATGTTCGAATACTTACAGTCTGCATCTGATTTGATCCAACATCCTCTCCTTCCATTAGAATCACTAGCACCACATGGACCCTGAGGCATGTTGCTACTTGTGTTGCTTGCACTCTTTTTAGAAATCTTTTTCTCAGGAAATATACTAATATCTTCCGCAGACAGCATTTGGTTTCTTCTCTTATGTCCCTCCTCGTTGACACAGGTGCCGTTCCTCAAATACTTGGAATGATTTTGAGATTTTGTTGTAGTTTCAGAATGAACTTTCCTATGGAACAGATGTAGGATCTGCAAGTATTACATTAAAGATTAGAGAAATTAATTAATAATTGAACAGTATTCACTATTCAGACATGCAGGGTGATGAGTTGCGTAAAGCTTAAATACATCTACCTTGTGCACTTTCTTATCAACTGAAGCATTATCAATCGTTCCTCCAGACACTCTTCTTCCTCTTAGAATCTTTTTCATCAAGTGGACAGCAGATTTATCAGTGTCTTTCTCCTTCTGCTTTTCTACCCTGTTGCATTTAAGTCCACTATTTTCCTCTGCCATTTTAGTTTTCTGAAACAACTCCCCTAGTGATGTTCTATGTTCTTTCTTTCCTGTAGTTGTTTCCGGCACTACAATTGTTGATCCAAAGAGATAACACTGGAGTAGGCAAGCAACTGGTCCATTTTCATTTTCTTCAGCTTCTAAAGGCTTGCCACTAATTGTGATTGTGCTTCCACAACTGCTTCTTCCAATACTAACGTAACTGTTTCTCCCAGATGAGTCATCTTCTTTTCCTTCAGCATGCAGCACCTTCTCCGACTCATCGTTGATGAACTGCAGTTCATTATCCGTTGCCTCTGTTTCTTTTTCCATAACGTACTCAACTGAGGTGGATAATGTTGGCGTTGCTTGTGGACAATGGATTGTTTTTTGAAGCTTTTTCAATGTGTAGACATATGATAATCAAAGGAACATCTCCTAATTATGCTATAATCACAAACATATCCCTTGTTTATGCCATACAAAGGGAAGAACTCTTCTCCACATATCTGTAGCAAACTCTAGTGGGTTTGTTCTTAAAGGCTGAACGAATGAAGGAAGGTACAGATATTTTTTCAAAAGAACGCATTCTGGTTTATTTTCACCCTCTCAAATGGCGAGTAGTTAACGGAGGGATTGAGAGAGGGGTCGGAGGGGGTGGCGCGGTCATCTCATTATTCCTTAATTTTGAATTAAAAAAAAGGGGACTGATATTTTTTATATATCCACTGATTTTAGAGGAATTTGACAATTATGCCCTTAAGTATATTTTTTAAATGCAGAATTTTAGTAAGCCATTATACCAAACCAAGAACCACGCAAACACCACTGCAGTTCTTCTACGACGCTGCAACAGTCGGCAAACAGTAAGTGATCTACGAATTATGCCTGCAACTTCTTCCTCATCTGCTCAACTTGCTGGTCGTCTCCTTGAACCACAAACAAAGTCCCGTCTCCCGCCACCATTACTTTCACCATAATATGCTATGTTCGTGATGTTCTCTTCGCATAATACGCTCCACTTCTAAAACTCTGTTTCAGATCGATCATCTATACACAAAACAACCAACCTATAATTCAACTCTTTCCCTCACGGGTCTTACTAATCCCAACCAATTTCATTAGATTATTCTAAGACGATTGATAAATTTATTATGGTTTCCTCTTTTATATAAATTCACACTACTCCCCAACCTAAACCATTGCCTGAATCAGAACTTTTGTTCCTCTCCTTTCACTGGAAACATCACTTACAGGCACCGGGAAGCCCAACTACCCAAGGATGAGCTTGCGAGTGGTGATGGATGATTGCAAGGAGTGTAGCTACTTTGAACATTCCTTTGCAAAGTCTTAGGAAATTAAGCTAGAGCCAGCTTGAGGAATTAGAAATCATCGAAGAGTAATTTTAGGATTGGGATTAGCAAATCAGGCTTGCAGGTGGTGGTCGGCACTAGAAAAGACAGAAGAAGTTGGATACGGGGTTAATTTGGATGGGAGATTGAGAGCGAAAGAACTAAGGAAGGAGTTTGCATTTGAGTAACATTTACCGTTTAAATATAAATAAGGGGTATAATTGTCAATTTCATTAAAAAATCAGTGGATTATCTAAAATTGTCCGTGGAAGTATCACTTCCCTAAAAAAAAATACTGTATAAATAAATTGAAAAGGGTACGAAAAATGAAATATGAGTCATGCATAACCTGAATGAAATTAAAATAATGAGTATTGAACATGACTTTTGTCATGTATAGTTATTAAATGTAAATTTTTTTTGGTAATATTGTCACTATAATCCAATCAATTTTTGGTTTAAAATGTCTTTCATGTTATTTTTGGTAATTTAAGGGTATAAACTGTTATTTACGTATTAAAAAAGAAAATGACATATTTCACGAGTAAATCAATGATATGTACACATGATTTTTTTATTGTATTTTTTTTCTGTAAAAGTATAAGTAAGACTGTATTATATATTTTATTAGATAAAAGCATTTAATCTTAAAAGGTTAGGTTAGGGTTCTACAAATTGGTAAGAATATATATACGAAGAAAAGTAAGAAGATATTTAATTTCTCTTTAATAAAATGTTATTTGTCGGTTTAGGACGCTAGATCTTCAAGGGAAATTTGAAGCTTTTGGAACCAAAACAATAAGGGTTATGCTATTGACCGTACTTAAATCAATTTGAATAGAATATCATACGTTTTTTATGGGTTAGTGTTCTTAATGTTTAAATGTCCCTGAAATTGAGTCAAAGAGTTTAGGACCAAACTAGAAATCGATTTCAAATGTTCTTGAAACTGAGTTTAATGTTCTTTAGATATTTTTGTTCTTAATCTTCAAATGTTATTCATATTTAAATGTTCTTCGATGTGTTCCAGATCTACAATCACTAACGGTTCATGTGTTCCAGATCTACAAGAATTTCGAGGGATACAATGTGTTCCATATCTGCAACGACTTAGATTTCAAATGCTCAACCAAAATGTCCATGTCGATTGTTCTTGCTATCGATTTTTGTTCTTGAAATCATATTGTTCTGGGTTAATGTTGTTGAATTAAATTTTTGGTCCAGGATTCTTTAAATACATTTTTGTAGAACTTTGTTCTTGAAATCATATTGTTTTTATTTTAGGCTTTTTGTGTTTGATATCAATTTTTGTTATATGTTAATGTTCTTGAAATCCATTTTTTGTTTGCGGTTTTATTTTGATGGTGTTTTTGAAACCTTGTTCATGGTCATTGTTGATAGTTGGGAGATGGATGATGTTGGTGGGTAATGGTGGTAGTTGAAGGTGGTTGTTGAATGTTGATAGTTGGGAGATGGATGGTGTTGGTGGCTAATAGTGGTAGTTGAAGATGGTGTTAGGTGGTTTTTTTTTAATGTTTTTCAAATGACTAAAAACTAGTTGACTGTTCTGCCAACCTTCATAATCTTTATATTAATAAAATCTAATAATAATAATTTTAGGATATTTGAAAATATGTAATAAAAAGAAAAAGACACATGGACAACATGTCAACGCGATGTGGGTAACTCTTACGACTAAAATGCAACATGACATGTCATGTAAATCTTGCAACCGGCTATTCTCTTCTGCATTTAGACTACCAAAATAACATAAACAACCTTTTAAACAAAAAGTAAAAAGTTAGTTGAGAACTATAATGATGTTATCCCTTATTTTTAGACAAAACTTCAAAAATGGTCCCTGTGGTTTTTGAAAATATCAAGTTTAATCCCTAAGTTCAAAAAACCTCACAGATGGTCCTGTGGTTTCAAAACTTTTAACATTTGGTCCTTCCGGCTCACTCCGTTAGCATTTCACCGTTAAGTAAGGGGCATTTTTTTCATTTTACTACCCGGTGACCATTTATGAGGATTTCTATTACTTTTTTAAAAAATAATAATAAATAAATAAATAAAATTTAATATGCAAAGGGTCTCTCTCT